GTTATGTGCAGTATACATAACCAGGTGTGTGGCATACTCTTGTACTAATCCCTATATAAACTCAAAGTTATGTGTAATGTGATGTGTCTTTCATTTGTGTCTGTAAAATACAGAGTGGATTTCCCAGTGGGTAAGCCTGTATAGAAGGCAGATAAACAGACCTCCAGTAGGAGTGGATTCCTGTAATGGAGATCTGAATATGAATGAGTCCAAACTCCATCAGCAGCACTCACTCCTCTGCCAAACCACCCAATCAACACTATCAGAGTAAAACAGGCTATGTAAATGTAGCTTCTCCACAAAGTCCCTGGTGCCCGCCTCCTATCATCAATCAGCTTGCTTCTCTAATCCTCTCATTTATAGAAATCCTAGGGCAGTCCTGGGGGGAAGGGGGAGGGCCAGAGTTCAGGGAAGGAATTGGGGGCAACGATGGGCTTGGGCAAACTTGAGCAAGGGGGAGGGGAAGGAGGTTAGCTTTGGGGCCCAGTAGGGCTGCTGGAGGCTTATTCTGAGTAAAGGGTTGGTCTTCTTGAACCTCAGAAGCAGAGGGAACCACATCCTGGTCTCACCCACCCTTGGGCTACCAGCCATCTAAGCTCCACCCTGCTCCTTGCATGTGGGCCATGTGCCCCACCTCCCAGAGTTCCAGACATCTTCAGCAGCAGCATCTTCTTTCCTCAGGGAGGCATGCATTTGGTACCCAAGGTCCCAGGCAGTCAGGTCCTTAGCAAGTGATGCGTGAGTTCTGTTTGTCCTAAAAAGCTTTCTACCCCCCCATCTGGTGACCAAAGATCTGACCACAAGTGATTGAGGACCTCCACCCAGGTTCTCCTCAACAACTGGAGCATCCTTCAACATGGCCTGGACGCTATTGCTCATCTTTATTATGGTCTATCCAAATGACAGGGTATTTGCTCAGGACCCTTAGGGGTGTGGGGCTGGGAGGAGGAGGCTAGGGGGAGGCTGGACTTAGATGCCCTAGGGGAGCAAGCTTGGTAGGGCTGAACCTTGTGCCCTGAGGGGAGCTGTGGGCACTTCCCCTCACCTCTGTTAGTTGATGCCAGTAGACAGTAGGTTCACAGTCCCTCTAGGTCTCTGGCTTACTGCAAGTGTTATTCTAAATTTCCATGCCAGAGACCTTTTCTTCTCAGTTACCTTCCTAGTAAGATAAAGTTGAAAGAACCAGTAAAAACGGCTGCAAGGAAAGAAGGAAGAAAAGGACCAGAATTTTGGTTTATCTTTTTTGTAGGATTTTCATTTGATGTTTAAGAAGTGTATTAATCTGGGCTTATTAGCTAGGATCTGGATATATAATTAGGAGTTCAGGAGTCCTAATTAAGTCTAACATACTTTTTTTAGTGAAACCTATTTTAATTAACAGAGATTGCTTAACTATCAGGCATATTAGTTAACTAAATACAGGGCTTCTTAGGTGTAGATTCCATTCTCAGCTTCAGCCACCTGGGAACCTAAGGCAAATTCTTAGGCCTCTGTCCAGACTCTAGGGGCCAACCAAGGAATCTGTTTCAACAAAGACTTTGGCGTGTGTGTGTGTGTGTGCGTTGTAGTCCCAATTACTCAGGAGGCTGAATGGGGAGGATCCCTTGAGCCCAGGGATTTGAGGCCAGCCTAGGCAATAAAGTGAAATTCAGCTCAAGGGGGGAAAAAAAAAAAGTACAAACAGGTAATTTAGGGGAATTCCCATACACAGTCAGGTTTGAGAATCACTGAAATAGAATGATGGGGGAAATTTTTCCCTAATTAGATAATTTAACTGGAGATTTTAATAATTGATTTAATTAATCAATATGGACAAGTTCAATGAGGATTTCAACCAATCTCAGCTATGTCTTCACCTGGAAATTTAATTAGTTAATGCTCTAACAAAAAACATAGCAAAGATGGTTTACTATTATGGAATGTTATTAGTACTAAAGTAATTCCTGAAATAATATCATGATGATATTAGTTAGCTAGGCAGCCACATTCAATACTGAGTTGCAATTGCACCATGGTAGCATAAATTCAGCAAGACAAGTCCTTTGTGAAGGCAGTTGGAGAGGGTGAGGGTGAGAATTGGAATGGGAAAGACTTTGAAAAATGATTTAATGAACAATGTTAAGAAATTAAATTAGCGGGGTGCGGTGGTGCACACCTGTAATCCCAGCAGCTCCGGAGGTGAAGGCAGGAGGATCACAAGTTCAAAGCCAGCCTCAGCAATTTAGCAAGGTGCTAAGCAACTCAGTGAGACCCTGTCTCTAAATAAAATACAAAATAGGTCTGGGGGTGTGGTTCAGTGGACGAGTGCCCCTGAGTTCAATCCCTGGTACCCCTGCCCCCTATAAAAGGAATTAGTAAACTAGTAAAGAGGGAAAGATTTAATGAGACACCCAAAGCATGTGTCTGTGTGCCTTACAAAGAGGGACAGTTGGGATATTCACTCCAAGCTCTTTTCTCTTGGAGAAACTAGAGAGGCATCTCTGGATTTTCTCTCTGTCCCCAGGATCCTGTATTCTCTGGGTGTTCTCTGCAGCCCTCCCGCCCTGCTCCTTCAATGCCAGCAGAGGGAGACCAGCCATTGGCTCTGTCACATGGTACCAAGACAAGGTGGCCCCTGCGAAGGAAGTGAAGAACAGAACCCCACAGTTCAGGGACCGCCTGGTTCCCCTTTCTTTTTCCCAATTCCTCTGTGACCACCAGGCTGAGCTGCACATCTAGGACACCAAGGCCAAGATGCTGGCGTCTATGTGTGCAGGGTGGAGGTGCTGGGCCTGGATGTTGGCACAGGCAATAGGACTCAGCTGCTGGCAGAGACAATACGGCATGGGGAGGCAGGACCTCCTTGACTGGAATGTCCCTGGAAATCAGGAATCCTACCCCTGCCCTTGTTAACTAAGCCCCTTCCTCTCCACTGCCCTCATGCAGGACCTCATGGGCTAAAGATAAGCACAGTGTTCCTCCTTCAGGCTGGATTCTATGCCTTTGGTTTTCTCTCCATGGCAGCACCCTCTCTTACCAGAGCAAATGTGAGTATGGAGCCTGGAGCAATTATGGAGGGATAGGAGGGGCAGTAAGAACTGGAGGAGGAAAGGACCTACGTTATGAAGAGGAGAGCTTCAGTGTTGGGGCACTGAATGGCTCCTTTCATCTCTCCCACCAGGCCACTATCACATGGGGACATGCTGCCATTCCTTGGGTGGCCTCTGAGGAATGATTCCAGATCCTAGTGATCTCTGACCCTTTTCAAGAGACCCCAATATATCCTTCTCTGCCCCATAACTACCTCCTCCTTTAGAGTCTTGTATATTTTCTTCTTAATTTTCCAGATGCCCAAATCTGGTCCCCCTGGTTCTTAACTCTCTTCCCCTTAGGTCTGACCTGGACAGGTCCAAGGAGAGATCTCCCTGCAATAGGGCCTAGAGGTCCCTCCCAGCATTATCTGGAGCTTGTCCCAGCATTATCTGGAGTCTCAGCCAGGGAGGCTGAGACTGTGGCTCCTGAGAAATGGAGATTATCAAATTAATTATTCCTACTTGTCAATTGCTGATTTCAGCCAGACCCACAGACAATTTTCTGCTCCCAGGGAAGTTCAGTTCCTTAATACCTTTTTTTTACCCAATATTTATGACTTGACCCCAAAAAGAGTGGGAGCGAGCTACTTAAATCTGGATTGTTCTCATTTGGAATAGTGGTTCAAGATGGATTGAGAGGCCTGAGACACAGAAGTGGCAAGATCATGGTCTTTACTGAGTGAACCATAGGATGATCCTGACCACCCGCCTGGGGTGAGGGAGGTGTCTAGGGGTACTCAAGTGGGTTTGTTCTTGGCAATGCAGGCGTAGTCAGTGCTGTGGTCCTCCTTCATGCCTTCTGCTTCTCCTTCGACCTGATCACTGCCCAATATGGGTAACCTTTGCAGAGAGGCATAGTGGAGCTCTTGGTCTGGAAGGTGGTCCTGGCCAGGTAGGAGATGCTGATGAAAGGGTGCTGGGAGCAGCACCCTCAGATCCTTCCCTGAGTACTGCCCTCAGCTCCCATCTTTCTTACCTCACTGATGCCTCAGTTTTCCTTTTTTTCTCTGAAGCTTCCCTCTTCCTCTCATTCTCCCTGTCTCCATCTTTCTCTCTCTGCTGACCTACGCTCCTATTCTTTTTTTGGTGCTGGGGATCAAACCCAGGGCCTCGTACGTGCAAGGCGAGCACTGAGCTATATCCCCGGCCCTGCTGTTCTTTTCTATTATTGCTGTTTCTCTTTGTGTCTCTCCATCTCTTGCTCCCCCCTGCCACCCCCCCTCCACCCATGCACACTTTTATTCCTACTCTCTTACTTTTTCCTTTTCTCTCATTTTCTGTCTCTCTCTTAATTTCTCTCATTTTTCATCTCTTTGTCTCTCTCATTCCATTCTCTTTCAATCTTATTTTCTCTGATCTTCATACCATATCTTTTTCTCTCTTCTTCTCAATTTCTTCTCTCTTTTTGCCTTTCTCTGACTTTCTCATGTTTCCACTGTCTCCCCTCTTTACTCTTGGCCCCCACCCCTCACATCAGCCCCCTGCACCCCCTTATCCCCCAACCCTGCTTGGGCTCTCTCTGACCCTCCCCTCCCTGCCCCAGACTCACCCATCTTCTCTCCAATCTTTTCACTGGAAGAAAAGAAGCAACTCAGCAAAGCCTTCCTCACTAGCTCTGCACCATCCCAGCAGTAGTTTCCTCACTTATTGATTCTGGTGGTTTCCAGGGACAAAGCCCTGCCCCCCACTTTTTCTTTTCTGCATTGCTGGGGATAGAACCCAGGGTCTTGTACATAGGAAACAAATGCTTTATCACTAAGCTACATCCCCAGCTCAGCGCTGGCCCTTTGCATATTCTTCTCTCACCTTTCCCACCCAACTCCCACCAGTCAGGACCTGTCAGGATTGATGGAGACTTTGGCCTCAGCAGTAGGAAGGATGTGGGTGGGCACTGCTATAGGTGACTGAGGAAATGAAGCTAGGGCTCACCTCTCCGACGGAGCAGACAGAGGCAGGTGAACAGAGTGACCACAAGCAAGAGCAGGAGCCCTCCCAGGCCCAACACCCCATAGTGGAAGAAAGGGCACCCTGTAGGGAAGAGGGGTAAGTATTAGAGGGTCTATTTCTCTTTTCAGCTTTCACATCCTCCTGGTTGGTTGTGGGCATCTCAATTTCCCTATCAGTTTTAGAGGCGGAAAAATATACTCTTAAAGATTTTTCACCCTAGACCTCATTATCTCACTTCCTACCAGAGTTATGCATCCCTTATCAGTTACCTTGCCTCATATCTGGGACCGCTCACCCCTGTGGCTTCCCACCACAGTCCCTGCTAATCCAGGACCTCTGTGGGGTCTCTTTCCCACCCACACCTGTGGTCCTTGGAAGCCTTGATCACCTACCATAAACCATCCATATCTCTTTTCACCCATTACTCCCTGCACACCCACAACCCTCCCTGTATAGAAGAGAAGGGCCCATTACTCACAGCTGAATGAACACATTAGGTTGAGGACTGAGAACTGGCCTGGAGATCAAGAAGCCTAGCCAGTGTTCTGACAGTCTTAATGACCTGGGCTAGTCACGTGTCTCAAGTTCCTTATCTGTGAAACAAGGGGCCCTGTGTTACAATCTTTTCCCTAGCTGAGGAGCCTCACCTATGTCCTAACCCTGAGATGGGCATTTTCCACTTGTTCCCACAGATTCTGAGAGTAGAGGGTAATATAGTATCCATTTATTTCCCAGGTCTAAGGAGTCTGAGTCTCAAGCATGGACTTTTACAGAGATATCTAGTCAGAAGTGGGTAGAGCTGGGGTTTGAGTTCTAGCCAACTCCAGAGCCCCCCACCTCCCTTCCCTCTAACCAAGGCTAGCCAGGTGGTTTAGAGGGGCCTCTCCAGCACTGGGTAGTTCTAGGAACTGGTGAAAGGGATGATGAAGGGAGAGGAGCCTGGAACTAGAGTGGGTGTGGGGGCTGTAGAAAAGTAGAGAGAAAAGTGTCCAGAGCCTCTCAGCTACTGTGGCCCAGTAGAACAGGTCTCTACTTGGCTGATACGGTGAACTGGGGCGTGGAAGAATTTCTGGGGCCCACAACTTCCCCTCAGGCACTTCCTGCACTCCAACCACTGGTTCCTGTTTGAGGGCAAAGAGGGGACTACTGACTTCACACCAAAGCCAGATGTACTGACTATGGTCTAAAACCAAGACTCTCCTGGGTTTAAGAGGAATTAGTTAGGGTGCGTGTGGGAAACAGAAGCCTGAGATGGCCATGAGGATGGTGGGAACAGAAATGGATTGTTTTTCATTTCCTTGGTCATCAGAGACTCAGGCTGGACAGAGGATTTCTTTAGGGCCTAGGGAATATCAAATACATGGCTTCTGACTCCCTTCTTCTTAACCTTACCTCACTCTGGGGTGTGGCCATCCTTACCCTAACCCCACAATTTCCCGGATGAGGGTCTCTACCTATTTCCAGCTTACCCTGAAGGGTGGATACATTGGCTAGAGACCCCTAGGTAGAAAGGAGAGTGGCCATCTCAGACATTCCTGCCCCTTCTCTGGTCTTAACCACCCCAACACAACTTTCCCAGCATTATTAGGAGAGGAAGTACATCTCTGAGGTCTAGGATTACAACATCTTTCCTTCAAGGTTCCCAGGCTGCGGGCAGTGAATAGGTCCCTCTCAACTCCAGTCATACTATTGATTATGCTAGTAGTCAGTGAATGTCCCCCTTCTCTAGAGGCCTTACCTGATTAACTTGTTCCCAGTTACCTTTCACTCTGCATCTGCTGAGAGCTCATGATCTCGGTTTATGCATGAGAACACACACAGCCTGGCTTCTACATTGGACCGAACTCTGATGACTTTAGGGTGACTCCTGGTCTTCTATATCTACAGCCAAGAATCCAGCAGGGTGCTTGGCTGGTTGATTAATAAGCAGGACAATCAGAGGTAGCCATACTGCTAATAGATGAAGGACAAAAAGTTGACAAGTTGTTGTCATAGGAGGTGGGGGTAATCCAGGAAGACTTCCTGCAGGAGGCAACATTCTGGTGCTGAGCACAGAACTAAGGGCAGTGATCCAAAACCCTCTGGATAGAGACCTGGGCAAAGGTCCCTTCATGATACTGTGATGGAGAGGGTGAAGGATGATGGAGGATTGTACTCCTGGCCTTTGGGAAAGGTAAAGACTATGAAGCTTAAGTGAAGGCAAGAGGTGAGGAAGAGATCTGGTGCTTGGGTTTATATGTATTTGCATTTTGTTTTTCAAATTCAGGAACTTTGTAATTGGACATGGTGCATGCCTGAAACCCCTGCCACTCAGGAGGCTAAGGCAGCAGGATCACAAGTTTAAGGTCAGCCCCAGTAACTTAGCAAGATCTTATCTCAAAAACAAACAAACAAACAAACAACTAGGTGTGTAGCTCAGTGGTAAAGCACCCCTGGGTTAAATCCCCAGTACTGCCAGAAAAAAAAAAAAAGACTGTCTCAAAATGAAGTAAAAAGGGCTGGGATGTAAGCATGTATAAGACCTTAGGTTCAATCTCCAGTACCACAAAAAAAATAAAATAAAATAAAAATTCAGGAACTTTCTGTTACTTCTTACCACCACACCATCCTTAATGTTCCCCCTGCAGAACAATAGGACAATATTCAGGTATGTTTGTTTATTTTATATATTTTTTTAAAGTTCAAATGAAGAGAAAATTTGAAAGAATTATACAGCAAATATATCCTTACCACCCAGATTCTACAATTAAGAGTTTTCTATATTTTCTTTCATTCTTTATTTTTGGTAATAGGGATTAAAACCAGGGGCACTTAAAAACAGAGTCACATCCCTAGCCATCTTTATTTATTTATTTATTTATTTTTAAAACTTGGTTTTCTTTTTTTTTTTTAAACAGAGAGAGAGAATTTTTTTTTAATATTTATTTTTTAGTTCTCGGCAGACACAACATCTTTGTTTGTATGTGGTGCTGAGGATCGAACCTGGGTGCACGCATGCCAGACGAGCGTGCTACCGCTTGAGCCACATCCCCAGCCCTTATTTTTTTATTTTGAGACAGTGTCTTGCCAAAGTGCTGAAGTTGGCTTTGAACTTGGGATCCTCCTGCCTCAGCCTCCTGAATCACTGGGATTACCGATGTGTGCCATTGCATCTGGCCTGTATTTTTTTTAAAATACTTATTTTTTAGGTGTAGAGGGACACAACACAATGCCTTTATTTTTATATGGTGCTGAGGATCGAACCTGGGTCCCACCCGTGCTAGGGGAGCGCTCTACCGCTGAGCCACAATCCCAGCCCTGGCCTGTATTTTCTTTATCACACATTTATCTTGTGTCTTGTATCTTTTGAAGTTGCAAATGTTAGAACATGTCACCTCTAAACCCCATAGTGTGCTGATCACTGACTCAAGTTGAGTATATTTCTCCATTTCTTTTTTTTTTTGCCTGAGGAAGACAAAATTTACATATAGTAAAATGCACAAATTTGAAATGCACAAATTTTTTTGGGGGGAGACTCTAACTTAGGGCCTCACACATGCTGGGCAAGCATTCTCCCAATGATCTACAAGCCCAGACTGTCCATAAGTTTCTTAGCTAGCCTCTCTGTGCCTCAGTTTCTACTTAGGTTTTTATCAAGATTGAAATAATTATTATTAATAAAGTATGTAGATTGGTGTCTCACACGTGCTCAATGTTATTTGTGTATTAGCTATATTATTATTATTATTATTAGTGTTACTACTACTATTATTTTTTTTGTGTGTGGTGCTGGGGAATCAAACCCAGGGCCTTGTGCATGGGAAGCAAGGACTCTATTAACTGAGCTATATCCCCACTCCTACTACTACTATTATTATTGTTATTATCCTAACACAGAGAGATGTCATCAAGAAGTAGAGATGATCTGGGGCCATCTGAAACTTCCTCGGACCTGATCTTTTTTCCCTCAACTCTTTCCCACTGCCTGCTTCTTCCATTCATCTGGTCCTTCCTATTTTGTTTTGCTTATTCATTCATTTTTCCTTTCATGCATCTATTCATGAATATTTAGTAAGCATGTACTAATGGATGGAGCTCATTCTAGACTAAAGCTCTCTAAGGTGGGAATGTGCCTCATCATTCTCTGGTCCTTGATCTTTATAGCAAGGGAGGTAATACTGTATTCCTATCTCTCTTCAGCAAGTCAGCAGTCATTGGTGAGGCTGAGGCCTGCTTCAATTGCCATTGCTGTGAACTGGCTTAACTCTGCCTTTCCCACCTACTGCTAGGAGGATAGGAGTGAGCAAGGGAACGGAAGAGGTCAGCCCAGTGTGTGTATAGGTTTATTTCAGGAAATCAGACATGCATCCCTCAAGACCCCAGTTCTTGTCCTCCTACTCCAGCCCTTTACTTCAGGAAAGGGTTTGCAGCCCTCCTTCTAGCACCCATCTCTGAGGTATAGAATGCAAAAGACATTGGAGAGCTGGAGTTCTGTATTGTCATTACAGTTTTGCTGTCTGATTTTCTGCAAGCTTCCTTTTCTCTCTGGGTCTCAATTTCCCTCCCTGTGAGCCAGAGCGAAAAGCCCCTCCATCTCTACTTTGAGACTGTCTCTCTACCCCAACTCCTTCCCCAGTTCAGAGAACCCAGGCATCCAGCTGCCCCACCCCAGCTCTGGGTAAACAGGAAGCTGGGTGAGGGGAGCAGGGGTGTGCGGAAAGTCCCAGCCAGGTGTGTGGGTCTATAGGGAGGGGGTGGCCCCACCCCTGAGGTATGAAAGCCCCCCTGTTCTGGTCCTGGTTCAGAGTCTGGATGGGAGCACTGGGGCTGCAGGGCCGGGGTGGGAGGCCCCAGGGGACGGGCTGCCTCCTGCTGGCTGTGGCAGGAGCCACTTCGCTGGTGACCCTGCTGCTGGCAGTGCCTATCACTGTCCTGGCTGTGCTGGCCTTGGTGCCCCAGGAGCAGGGAGGACTGGTGAGTGGCTGCAGCAGACCTTAAAGGGCTGCATCTTGCTGATGCTCATTGACCTCTGGCTATTACTGGGGTCTTTTGCATACCTGGCTCAACTGACTGGCTGTCTCTGGTGGAAATGTTATGTCTGTCTTTTTGCTGAATGTTTCCATGTTCCTGTACCGCTACTGTCTTGATGTCTCCAAATCCCTTCCTGGTTGTCTATTTCTCTCCTCTCCTCTTCCCAAGACACACACAGACTCGTCTCTCTGCCCAAATACATATGTCTTGCTTGCTCTCCCTTCCAGGGAGATGTGTATTGGGGATGGTGCTGGAAACCCAGCCTGGGGTTTGGGTCCATAGTTGGAGGGGTGCAGTTGGCATCAGATGAATCTGAACTCTGGACACAGTTACCTTACCCAACCAGGTAATGGAGTCCGCAGGCCTGGGAGCACAAGCCCAGCAAGGACTGAGTAAGAGCAATGGACTCCCTTCCCGTCTGCATTCCCAGATACCCTCTTCCTCCAAGAATCCATTCCTGCGCCCTGGCGCCCTGTCCTCTCATGGGAAGCATCCATGGGTGGCCACCCTGCCCCCAATTGTGGCCTCTACACCAGTTCCAGGGTTTCAGCAACTGCAGGAAGAGAAGCCAGAAACAGATCTCAGTTCCAGGCTCCCGGCTGCCCACCTTATTGGTAAGGCTGTGGTCGACCTGAATATGCATTCAAATAGTCCAAGAGTGCCAATTTTTGTGGAGTCCCTCCATTCTGCGATTCCAATGCTGGATTTCCCACCCCTTCCACCACCTCTTGCCCCTAAAGTGCCCATCCTTCCACTAATTCCCCATTCTTGCTGCTTCCCGGAGCAGACAAAACTCAGCCTAGATCTTACCACAGCCCTCCGCACCCCACAACCCGGTGCCCTCAGCCCCCAGCTTGGATTCATTCCAAACGTAGCCTCGCCGCCCCCGCCCCTCCAGGCGTCGCGCCCCGCCCCCTCCTGCCTACCCTCCCTGAAGTCCCGTCCTCAAGCGGTGCTCTCAGCACCAGTTCCCCGAGAATCCACCCACCCGTCTTTCTGCAGGCGCGTGGATGAAGGGACAGGGGCTAAGCTGGGAGGCGAAGAAAGAAGAAGCGTTTCTAAGGAGCGGGACGCAGTTCTCTGGCGCCGAGGGGCTGGCCCTCCCGCAGGACGGCCTCTATTACCTCTACTGTAACGTCGGCTACCGGGGTCGGGCGCCACCTTCCGGCGCGGGCCCTCAGGATCGCTCCGTCACGCTGCGCAGCTCGTTGTATCGAGCTGGTGGCGCCTACGGTCGGGGCGCTCCCGAGCTGCTGCTGGAGGGCGCCGAAACCGTGACTCCAGTATTGGACCGTGCCGGGAGGCCACAGTACAGACCCCTCTGGTACACGAGCGTGGGGTTCGGCGGCCTGGTGCAGCTCCGGAGGGGCGAGAGGGTGTACGTCAACATCAGTCACCCCGATATGGTGGACTATAGGAGAGGGAAGACCTTCTTTGGGGCTGTGATGGTAGGGTTAGTGCCCTCTGCGTCCCTAGGAAAATGTCTGCATAGTGCGAATGTATGAATCGACCCAGGGATTGGGGACCCAGACGCCCGGGATCCCAGGGCAGTAAGAAAAATATAGGAAACTGTTTAGAAACTGATTTTGAACCCAATGAAAATAAAGAATGTAAAGCTTTAGTGCCGTCAGTACGGAAGAGATGCTAACGCGTCTTAATTCATAGTGGTGCAATGTGTTGGTTAATTGTTTTTGTGTCTTTCTCGTTGCTCAAAACCATTCATAACACTGTGTGTGGCCTTTGCTCCCACTCTGTGGGGACTGCCCTTCCCACTCACCCTACCTCTGAAGGCCAGACCCCAGCACGAGTCCAGTTGGAGGGTATAAGGAAGGGCCTCTTTAAACCCTGAAGCATCGCCAAGCATCCTGGTTCTCAGGGCGTGGTAATCCCCACCAGACTCTCACTATTCTCTTTTCCCTTGGGTCCCTTCCCACTCTGAGAGTAGTCATTACAGGGGAAAGCAAGCACCACTCAGAACGACCCAGCGGCAAGAGGGAACCCCTAGGATGGCTGGGGGGGGGAAGCATCGAGGGCTCCAGCAGCTCTCCCCTTCTGGCTGACTAAAGGTCCCTTTAGTCCCCAACCTACTCTTCTACATGGAGCAGTAATCAGGCTCCTGGGTGTGAATGCAGGAGGCTACAGGAAGGAATGGAGGTTGTTTGGGAGGAGAGGAGCCGGTGGTGCCCCACCCCAACAGGGAGAGCCTAGGGAGGAGGGGTGGAGGAGGAAACTGATGAAGATCCTGTGTTGGGTGGGATGGAAAGTATTCATCCTTTGTTCACACTTCTGGTCCTCCTTCCCCCAAATGGACAAGATGGGTACCTTTGGGGTGAGTAACAGCAGTCTCCCCACACCATGACCGACTTTCAGCCGCAGCCTGGAGGAGGCAGAGGGGGACTCAAAGCCCTATCTAGGTCACCCCAGTGGGTCACCCCACCCCCGCAGAACATCACTTATTGGTTTTCCACTGCCTGGCTACGCATCTGGACTGAAGGAAAACCCAACTTCTGAGCCTAGTGGAGGCCACTCTATGAGGCTCTGTTTCCTATTCCGCCTCTATTCGGCCTCTATTACCTCTACTGTAACTCCATGTTCAGAAGAGCCTTTCTGTAGGGTTTGAGGGTGATAAGTATATTTTGCTTGGCCAAACTTTAGTCAGGTTTCTGAATCTTCTACTTTGCCTATTTGTATACTTCCTCATAAAATCCAGTTTTAGCCACAAACGCTGCTAAGTTGGTTTAGCACGAACCTACCACCTTCTCCATGTCTGATCACTCTCAATATCTGGTCAAGTTCCTTATCTTCTATATTCCCAAGTGATGTCTAATCACCCTGGCCTGTCTCAGCAAATATCCTGTCAGATCTGCTTAACCAGAATCCCCCATCCCTGATTTTATATTTCCTTTTAGTTATTTTCCATCCACTGACCCTCACCCTGCTCCTTGGTTATCAATTCCCTCTTGCCCATGCTGTATTTGGAGTTTAGCCCAGTCTCTCTTCCTCACTGCAAGATTTCATTGCAGGGTATCACCATGGTCCTGAATAGTTGCCGCAGCCTCCTCCTTCTCCTCCTCCTTTTGGAGCCTGGTACTGGGAATTGAACCCAGGGGTGCTTTACCATTGAGCTACATCCTCTTCACAATTTATTTATTTATTTACTTATTTATTTTTGAGACATGGTATCACTAAGTAGCTTAGGGCCTTACTAAGTAGCTCAGGGCCTTGATAAGTTGCTGAGGCTGGTCTTGAACTTGCAATTCTCCTGCCTCATCCTCCTAAATCAGGATTACAGGTATGCCCCACCACACCCAGCTCTGAATAGTCTTTCCTACCATGCTTTACCAAGTACCATTGAGTAATGTGAATGTGTGTGTTTGTATGGAGTGTGTGTTGTGTTGAGGATGGAACCCAGGACTTGCATATTCCATTGAGTAATTTTTTTTTCTTTAACAGAGGTTCTTTTCTCTTTCCAATTCACTCCCTTCATGCCCGACCCCTCATCATTCACTAAAAAGATCAATGAGACCAAAGCTGGCAAGTGGGTCCTTCACCAACATCTTATACCTTTTGGTGGTGGTGTGGGGGTATACTGGGGATTGAACTCAGGGGCACTCTACCACTGAGTCACATCCTCATCCCTATGTTGTATTTTATTTAGATACAGGGTCTCACTGAGCTGCTTAGTGACTCTTTGTTGCTGAGGCTGGCTTTGAACTCGAAATCCTCTTGTCTCAGCCTCCTGAGTCGCTGGGATTATAGGCATGGGCATTGCTCCAGCCTTCTTGTTGTTGTTGCTTGGTGCTGGGGGTTTAATTCAGGGCTTTGCACCTGCTAAGCATGCACTCTATCACTGAGCTATATCCCTTGCTTCTAGTCTTTGATTTTTAATTTTAGTTGGTTTTTCCGATTTTACCCACTGAAGAATGAATGGATAAAGGAAGTAAGGCAGCATTTATTGAGTGGCTATCATGCCAAGTACTGAGCTGGGTCTGATGGAAGTTGGGCCTTTTTTTTTCATGTGCCCTTCAGGCAGTGGCAGGTGAGGTTGACTGGTTTAGGTTGCACAGTTAGCACAGGGTTGGGGGGAAGGTGGTTGGGATGGAGTGATTTGGAGCCCAGACACCTGAATCTTTGGAAGTCCCTTGGCTGTGATTCAGGTACCTGAGAATGTGGCTCCTCCCCAGCTCTCTCAGGCCACAACAGCCGGAAAGAGTAGCAGGATTTTCCCAGCAAGTACTTGGAATTCCCAGAGTGGGAAATTCCCATGCCCTGAGGGACAGGTAATTAGGTTCAAGCTCCAGTTTCCCGGAGAAGGGAGGCTATTCAGCTGGGCTTTGTTACATAGTATCTCCTGGACCCCAAGAATCTAAGTACTGGGGTCTGTCTGTGTCCAGGCATCTTTTTTTTTTTATTTTAATTTTTATTTTTTTAAGAGAGAGAGAGGGAATCTTTTTTAAATATTTATTTTTTAGTTTTCGGCGGACACAACATCTTTGTTTGTATGTGCTGCTGAGGATCGAACCCAGGCCGCACGCATGCCAGGGGAGTGCGCTACGCTTGAGCCACATCCCCAGCCCGCGTCCAGGCATCTTAAGCTCTGCAGAGAGAAGACTTCAGAGAGTGGGCTCCTACCCCCAGGGAGAGACAGATGCAGAATTGACTCCAAGAGACAGATCATGTTTCTTTTCTAAGCAATCTTTATTTCTATTTCTCGCCACTGCGATTACAGACACAGCTCCCCTAGGGAGCAGAGGTTCAGCGATGTAGCAACAGTAGGTCACCAAATCAGTATTATTAAAACATCTGGATTAGATAAATATTTTGTTTAAAACATAAGCAAAAGGAGGCAAAGAGGCCAGGAGGCCAGGTGGGAACAGCCTATAGTTCAGTTCCGTTTTCACAGAAAACATGTCTGGCCCAAGGCAGCTCCGACGTTGGGCCCCGAGGACACCCTGACCTTCTAAATAAATACATTCATCAGTAAATAAATAAATAATAAATAAGTAATAAATAATTATAAGTGCAACCATAAATAGAGGGGGCTGGCCCTGTGGGAAGGGATGGGCTCCATATCTTAGGAGTCTGGAAACATCTGAAGAGAGGAAGGCCTGAGGTCCACTCTTGTAAGTGTTCGAGGTGAAGTCTTCTTAAAGAGTGTGCTGAACCAAAGGCTTCCTGATCCCCACATTTCAGATGTCCCAGGTTGAATTCAGGGATCAAAACCTGAGGGCCCCAGTGGTTTCTGGTAGTCTTGGTTTGAATTCTTGCTAGAGTGCCCCATCATCCAGGTCACACATCCCTTCATCCAAGTTTTCTGAGTGGTGTTGAAAGTTCTAAGATTGGGGTCTGACCCTAATTCCCTTTCTCAGCCAAAAAAGGACAAGGAGGCAGGGGCCGAGGGATTGTGGTAGGTGAAGGAGAGGAGGTGGATGGACATCCATCTCCCTCACAGAGCGATGACCCCAAAGTAGACCTGCCCGGACTCAGCAAAGTCGAGATAGCTGGGCAGGTTGACCTCAGCACTGAGTCGATCACCCTTCTGCAGCTCGAAGACCCCTCCTAGATAGATGGGTTCATACCAGGGCTTGAACTCAGCCCCCTCCAGGCTCTCCTTTGGGCAAGGGCTCTTGATGGCAGAGAGGAGGTTGACCTTGTCCTGATAAGAGACAGCAAAGCGGCTGACAGTGTGGGTGAGGAGCACGTAGGAGGGGCAGCCTTGGCCCTTGAAGAGGACCTGGGAGTAGACAAGGTATAGCCCGTTTGCAGGCACCACCAGCTGGTTGTCTATCAGCTCCATGCCATTGGCCAGGAGGGCATTGGCACGACGACTTAGCCACACCAGCTGCTCCTTGTCTTCATTTTTTGCTAGAGGGAGGGAGAGGTGAGTCAGTATGACCCTGTGAGTTTACTTCACATCCTGGCCCTCAAGTTCTGCTCACCCCAACTTCCGGTTACTGTCCCCTCTCTTTTCACATCTCTTCTGGCCCTGAGTTTCTGAGTATCCATCACAAGGCCTTTCTGTTCCTCCACCCTCCTTCACACACTGTCTCCAGGGTCTTCTACTTTCAACCCACCAGTCCTATGCCTCCATGTCTTATGTGCTCCTTCATCCCCAAGACACATGCTCAGAGTTCTTACCTACAACATGGGCTACAGGCTTGTCATTCATGTTTTGAGAAGATGATCCTGAAAAAGAAATAAAAGAAAAAGTTGAGCCCCCCCCAAACTTCTTTGAAAATCCCTGCCTACTTTGACCTCCATTCCTTCTCCCCAAAACCCAAAACTCTAAATTTCCCCCACTGTTTCCATCCCAGGACTAACACTCCTCCCTTCACCAGAATTAGGAAAGAAGCTTGGGAGATACTTACTGAGTGTGAGCATCTGGGCCTGGGGGCTGAGAGGGAGGTTATTCAGGAACTGTGGGAGAAGGAAAAGATTTAGTACTTGAGGAATCACCCCAGAGGAGAATCAGCTGGCTGCTTATTCAGCTTGAGCTCTCTGCACCAAACATCTGGTTTCGTCTCTCCATTCATTCATTTATCCTTACATACATCCAACAAGTGCCTTCTGTGGGCCAAATTTTTGCCTCTCGTTATCTCACTTTCCTTCAACTCTCTCCTTATATCTCTTTCCCTCAG